TCAGGAAGGAAAGCTAAAAAACAGTTTTCCACATCAGTAATTCTAGACAAGGACAGTCAAAGCCACTAGACAAACACCACGTAGTGTGACCTGATGGACAGGACTCAATGGAAATGTTACAATCTATTTATAACTGCACATGTTGTAAAACTCACTGTTTGGGGTGTGTAGGCCCATGGGTTCAGTCTGACAAACTGAAAATTTTATAAACATTTTCCCATTAAGAACATGGCAAAAGTGAACTTTAACATGGACAAGAATCCTTAGGGTAAACTTTAAATAATACATTGCATGAGGACTTTTTTTTTTTAACTAGCTTTGGCTACTATGAACAAATCCTCCATACTGTTTATCTCCCTCTTCTCCTAGAATTTCTTGTCCTGGAACATGGAAAAGTAGTCTTTAGGAGGGAAAGGTCCCAGTGGGAAGAGAAGAAAATGAGTAGACAGAGATTGGCTTTTGGCCTCAGACCTCTAGGCTGGTTTGAGCTTAGAGAGAATGCATAGCAATGGCTAGAATCCATAACAAGGCTGCATAGTGAGCAGCAGAGATAGAGCAGAAAAGGACAAGATGAGCATGGCTGACATATTTGGGGTTTGAGCGGATGTGGATGCCTCTAGGATCTCTTCCAGGTAATACGGTAACTCATAACATGATGGTTAGAATGATTGGAGTTATCATTTCATGTTTCAAGGAGCATGATGTGGAAAACTGGGGAAATGGCAAATATCCATTCTATTAGCATTGTAGTGATTTGGTCTGTGAGAAGCTCTGGGTTCAATCCTTCATGTTATAATGCATAAAAAGTTGGGATGCCTCTTTTCAAAGCACTCAGAACCAACTAGAGAAGATAAGATTGGGCACAAGTTCAACGCATACTGTGAAGGTTAATAAGGACAGCAAAGGTGGCAAATGGAGCTCATTATTAATATTGACATCATTTTATTGTGACATGGCAAGCATTTGTTGAGCATGTATTATTCAGTAGTCATTACATTACAGATTTTATATGAAATTAAGCTTAGGTAAGTGTCATAGCAACTCAGAGGATGAGAAACTATTTTGCTTTCACATAGTTAAAAGTTTGAACACAGAAACATGAAGGAACTTGATCCTGACACAACACAGTTATTAGACAGGAGCAGAGCCAAGATGAGAATTCAGGTTGTCTTGCCATAAGCTACCAAGGGAGGAAAGTTTCAACAATAAGAGCAGTGCAAAACAACATTAATGGCTGCTTACATTAAATGCATCAGTCACTTAACTATCTCCTGCTCTGCAGAACTTTCCATGCAGAAGGAAACAATATATTTATGCTGCATGTCTAGTGCATAAGAAAGAGGAACAGAGGCCAGGATGATATAGAGAAGTATAACTCAGCTTGATGTAAGACTGTCTCCACATTTGGAGTGTCTAGCACTGTAGATGCCAACACACAGGAATCTGGCAGGAATGCTGAAGCAAGAACTTCCTTCTTCAGGTGCATGATTCAGACTACCTCTGCTCCACCCCCCATCGCTGCCAACACCTTGATTTTCTGATGCTAAGACACCAACCGTTCAGTCTATTGGTGAGCTTCTCCTCTGGCTAACACTTAAATGTCAGGTGTTCTCTTTGTGCTTTTCACCCTCTACAAATCCCCATTCCATTTCATTAATGGTGCTTGCTTTTAATGATCACGTGTAAGCTATTGAGTTCCACATTTTACACCTTAGTCCAGAATCCTTTGCTGTGCTCCATACCCATGTCTTGAATGCTAGCTATCCATGGTGACCAGGCACACATCTGTAATGCCAGCGATTCTAGAGGCAGAGGCAGGATGATCTCAAATACAAGAACAGTCCTGTCTCCTCACAAAGGTAAAGAAAGGGACTGTTTCAAGTAAATAAATGAATAAGTAAGTAACTAAATAAATAATTTAATTAATGGCAAGTGGTAAAGCACTTGCATATTAGGTTTGAGGACCAAAATTTACATGCAAGAGAGAAAAAAAAGGAAAGAAAGGAGAGGAAAAGAACAGGGGAAAAAAGAAAGAAGAGAGAAAATGAGAGGAAGGGGAGGAAGAGAGAGAAAGAGAATGTAAGAGAGAAAGAAAGAAGAAAGAAAGGCAAAGAGAAGAAGGAAGGAATTTTGTTTAATTTAGTGTGGCTGGCATGGACATGAAATTGCTAGGGGAATGTAAACAAGTTGGTTGGTTTAACTAGTTCTAAGGTCTTCAAGAACTTACAAAATGGTAAAGATATTTGGTGGAAGCTAAAAACACACCATTTGAACTCACTTGGCATCTCTGTGTCTTTTATTACCTACAGGAGAAGAATTACCATCTGGGCATCCAGGAATGATATTTATAATATCACAATGATTAAAATGTCATTTTCTAATTTTAAAATTCTATAACCAACTTATGGGTATTTGAAAAAGACTTCACTAGTGTAACAGAACAGAATGTACAATTCTCAATCCCAACATTATAAAAACAATGGTACAACTGGCAGAGAAATTGGGAAGTAGAGATGGGAAGATGTGATGAACAGCTGAAGACACTTGAATGTCTTCATCATGCAAAATACAAGTGAAGAATACAATGCAAGGTGCTCATCCCCTTTGGTAATGGAATGAGCAATGAAATGAAGGTTTTATTCTGCCATTTAGAGTTGCAAAAGTAATGCAGAAAGTAAACAATGTGATATCAGGGTGTTAGTAAACTAGGGAAGTGAATGAATATCTATGAAAGCAGGTTACATTACAAGAGGGAAGTAAATCCTTAAGTATTTTCATGCAATTTCAATGTGGTCATATCACCTATATCCCAGACACTTTGTGCTTTATAGAAGATAACCCATTGCCAGTCTTAAATTAATCAACATATTCTAACTAATTTTCCTACTCATTAATTTCTGCATAAAGAAGTACTCTAAGTTGGGCCAATAATATAAAAAAAAACTTCTGCTTAGAATTCTTGGAAGAAAACAATTTTTCTCTCCTTGAAAAAAGATAGTAAAATGTGCCCCTTATTCTCTGAAATATGTTATTAAATGAAATGATACAGACATCTCTTAAATTCTAGAGAGAAACAGTCTGGGACTAAAACTCTCACAAGAAAGGAATAAGCAAGAGAATCTTTGAAGTATGGAACCAAAATCTTGATGCTGTTAAAAGATCAAACTGTACCTGAACCTAGAGACAACTCTTAAACAGAAATAAGGTCTAATGTGATTTTCCTGTGTCTATACAATATTCATCTCCCATATTTGTCCAGTGATAAATGACTACATCTCTTTCTCCTTGGCTGGGTTTTGACTAACTGAATTTAAGCAGACAAGAGGCTTAGGAAGAGGAACTTGAGTTTAAGACATTGCTTTAAGTAAATGATTCTGGGCAATATTTACAAAATACTATTGAGAAAAAAGTGGGATTGCATTACAATTGTAAAATAAATACAGTACTGGAATTTTAAAAATTCCCCTGAGGGCCAGGCCCCAGGATCTCATGCATATAACCCTAGCTGAGATCTCAGAAGGCTGAGATCTGAGGATTGCAATTTGAAGTCAGCTGCAGTTGAAAAGTCCCCAAGACTCTGATCCCCAATTAACCACTGAAAAAGCCAGAAGTGGAGCTGTGGCTAAGGTGGTAGACCACTACCCTTGAGTAAAAAACTTCAAGGACAGCACACAAGCCATGAGATCAAGCTCTCTAGGGCCAACAGAGAGACAGAGAGACAGAGAGGCAGAGAGACAGAGAGACAGAGAGAGAGAAAGAGAGAAGACCACTAGCTTTGAGTTAAGAAATGGAAAGACTTGGAAAAAATTATATTAAGTGAAGTAAGCCAGGCCCAAAGAAACATAGGTCCCATGGTTTCCCTTATTTGCAATAACTAGTATA